AGCTGTTCCTCAGTTTCTATTTTGAGTAGTGAGTGCCATGTCACTGGGGTATTCAAGTACAGGAGGAAGACTAGATTATAGGTTAGAGGTTGTGAAGGGGATTCACTTACTCATTAATCACAGTCGTCTTCCCGATTCACAGGTCACTTGAGAAATCTGTTTTGAGACGGTGGACCTAACATCTGCTCAAGACCCTACTGAAATGACAGCAAAGATGTATTAGTTTTTTTAGTCCTCATCTGAGGACATGCTTAGAGAGAGAAAGGGAGAGGGGGTAGGGGGAGAGAGGAACATCAACGTGAGAGAGAAAAGGGATTGGTTGCCTTCTGTACATGCCACCTCAGCCGGGCAGCAAAGATATACTTAAAGTATCATGCAACTCAACAGATTGGAAATGGAGAGAGCGTGCCATCGAGGGACCAGAACAGTTGAGCAGTTTTTAGGAAGTAAAGAGCAGAAGGGTCAAGATTGGAACAAGGTGGCAGACTGACCCAATGCCCCAGCCTTCCACTCCACCCCAGACCTCTAGGAGTAACAGGAGAGATGAACATAATGAGTACTGTTGCCCCGTCCTCTGAGACTCCTGGAGGGGATGTGGGGTTGGATGAAGGAGGAAATTAGAACCCCAAGTCCAGGAGGACGGAGGTAACTATGCCGGGTGGGAAGGGATCCCCGGCATATCACACACAGACAAAGGCGAGGGGCAGGCAGGGAGGGGCTGTGGGCGGAGAAGGAGAAGGGGGTGTCAGTACATTAAAATCCAATTACGCCTGGCTGATGTGGCTCAGTGGGTGAGCATGGACCTAGGAACCAAGAGGTGACGGGTTGATTCTCGGTCAGGGTACGTGTCCGGGTTTCGGTCTCAATCCCCAGTAGGGGGCGTGCAGGAGGCAGCTGATCAATAATGTTTCTCTCTCATTGGTGTTTCTATTTCTCTATCCCTCTCCCTTCCTCTCTAAAGAAATCAATTAAAAGATAAAAATAAACAAATACAAAATCCAGTTGAGCTGGGGGGACCTCAGCATAAGTCTGAGCTCCCTGGGATCCCCCCATTAACCCAGGACCTCAAACTGCACACGACACAACCTCTGACAACCTTTCAGCTGTGTTAATCTCCTCCCTGACCTCCACCCTCATCTCTGCTGACTCACCATTAGCTCTTTTCTCAGTTTCGTTTCCCTAGCAGGAAGTTACCTAGAAAGTAGCCTTATCTCTGGCGCCCCAGAAATTTATGTCTCAGGTTTGTTTGTTTTTTAGGAAGGGAGGGAGAAAGAGAAACATCAATGTGAGAGGGAAAGATCCACTGGTTGCTTCCCACACGCCCTGACCAGAGATCAAACCTACAACCTCAGTGTGCGCCCTGACCAGGAATACGAACTCACCACCTTTTGGTGTACAGGATGGTGCTCCAACCAACTGAGCCGCACCAGCGAGGGCTGGCTCAGGTGTTTCAATCTCCACCATCCCTTCCACAATTGCTCCCTCGTTTCCAAATCTCATGAACTTGCCCCTGAACCAGCAACTCCGAATACCAGCACGCCAGGTCTTTCTATCACCCGGGCTTGCTGGCATTTCACAAACAGTCCTTCGCTGAGTATCACCCGGGCTTGCTGGCATTTCACAAACAGTCCGAGCTTCGCTGAGAGAAATACTTATTTTAAAATACGTTTTTGCAAGAAAAATTGCTTTATTGTGTTTTTTTTTGTGGTCATACAAGCAATAACAGTTTAAATTTATATAACATCAGAAAATTCAGAAAAGTATTAAGATCACTCATAATGCTAAAATCAAATATGCACACTGAAACATTTAGGCCTTCCAGGAATCAATCATTACAAAATGAAGTTAAAGAAAACATACTTACATACAACAACACAGAAACAAGTGCCTAAGAATAATATGACAAAAAACTCCATGAAATTCAGGGAAAATTCTAAAATTTACTCATACAGTCATTAAAGACTTAAATGAAAAGAAACATCACTCATAATGCTAACATCAAATATACACACTGAAATATGTAGGCCTTCCAGGAATCAATCATTACAAAATGAAGTTAAAGAAAACATACTTACATACAACAACACAGAAACAAGTGCCTAAGAATAATATGACAGAAAAACCCCATGAAATTCAGGGAAAATTCTAAAACTTACTCATACAGTCATTAAAGACTTTAATGAAAAGAAAGTTCAACTTCATCAACTGGGATTCTCAATACTACATAGATGCCATTCTCCCTTATCTAATTTGTATAACTCCGATTAAACACCTCCCCATATTTTGGGTGAAATTGTACAAATTGCATATAAAATTAACATGGAAATAGAAAGGCCAAGGGAAGCCCTGGATTTTGATAAAAAAAAAGAACAGAGTTTGCTGGGAGATATGAATAATTATTTTAAGTTTATAGTAATTCAGACGAGGTCGGATCTTAATCCATGTAATCTTGGAGTCTTTGACACATTTTGAGTTGATTTGTGTGTGTGGTGTAAGGTAGGGGTACAATTCACCCTATCCAATGTTCCCAGCACCAGTTGTCGAAGAGATAACCTTTCGTTTCCCCAGCAGGAAGTTACCGGACATCAGTGGACTGCATGCGCAAAGTACAGGCAACAAAAGCAAAACCTGGCAGGAGGGACTACAGCAAACGAAAGTGCTTCTGCACAGTAAGTGAAAGCATCCACAGAGTGGAAGGGCAAGCCCGGGAATGGGAGGAAATATTTGCAAACCATACACCTGATAAGGGGTTAATTTCCAAAATAAGAAGAAGCTCCCACAAGTCAGGAGTAAAACAATTTTTAAAAACGGAATAGTCCTAATACAGAATGATCCAAGCACTTGAATAGCTATTTCTCAAAAAAGTAAAAATAAAAAAAGACATACAAATGGCCAACAGGCCCATAAAAAGATGCTTGACATCACTAATCATCAGAGAAATACAAATCACAACCATGAGGTATCACCTCTCACCTGTTAGAATGGCTATTCCATTTTTTAAAAAATATATTTTTATTGATTTCAGAGAGGAAGGGAGAGGGAGAGAGAGATAGAAACATCAACGATGAGAAAGAATTATTGATTGGCTTCCTCCTGCGTGTTCTCTACTGGGGCTCGAGCCCACAACCCCAGCATGTGTCCTTGACAGGAATCAAGGACCCTTCAGTCTGCAGGCCGACACTCTATCCACTAAACCAAACCAGCTAGGGAAGAATGGCTATTCCATTAAGACAAACAAACAAACAAACAAATAAAAAAAGACACAAGTGTTGGTGGGAATGTGGAGGAATGGGAAGGCCCATGGACTGTTGGTGGGAATGGGAAATGGTGCAGCCGCTGTGGAAAACAGTATGGGAATTCCTCAAGAGATTAAAATGAGCACTACGGAGTGATGTGTTTCGCTTTTCAAAGTAAGCAACTAATTACTAACTCAATTAATGTTCTGGTGACTGTAATATTGTATTTATAATAAAAAAACTCTCATAAGACAACACAGGCGGCTCACCCACATGGTAGAATGGTGCCGTTATAAGTGATGCCAAAATTTTCATCTCAGCATGGAGAACTATGGTGAACCTGTCAGAGCAGATGACAAAGCTGGGCAGGGAATAGGACCCCGTTAAAAAGACACTGTACACCCAGGGAGACAGGCAGAGTCAGAGGAGGGCTGAGGAGACAGGCCCCAGATTTTACCAGGTGGGAGGGGGAGGTGTGGGAGTGTTGTTGTTTTATTTCAAGTGATTTATTTTGTGAATGTCAAAGACAATAACTAAATATTGTCACAAAGGAAGACGTTTATACTCACAGATCCCTAGAAACAGGGGGTAGGGCCCCACACAGGGCCACACGGGGAAGCACCGGGGTTCAGCCACAGGGAGTGAGGGGAAACATGGGTGAAAACCTTTACCGTAGCCCCGGCTGGTGTGGCTCAGTAGATAGAGCCTCAGCCCTCAGACTGAAAGGTCCCGGGTTCAATTCCGGTCAAGGGCACGTACTTCAGGTGCAGGCTCCAGCCTGGCCCTGGTCGGGGCACATCTAGGAGGCAACCAGTCCATGTGTCTCTCTCACATGGATATTTCTCGCTGTCTCTCCCCTCCCTTCCACGGTCTCTAAAAATCAATGGAAAAATATCTGTGGGTGAGGATTAACCAAAAAAATAACCTTTATCATAGTTCCCACGGGAAAGGCAAGCAGGGTAAGCGGGGTAAGCAGGCTAGGATGGGCCAGTGCGAAGAATTCCAGCGGGCTCTGGAGTGTGGGGCTGTGCCCAGTCCTCTGGGACCTGCCCTGGGTGAGTGGGAGTCTGGGCTCTGATTGGCTGGTTTGCATCTGAAAGGTGAGTGTGTGCTCTGTTCTCTTCCACCCGGGGAGGGGCTCTCTGCCTGGTGAATGCCGGCGTGAAAGGACCCAGGGCGCTGTCCACCATCGGGGAGCTGATGTGTCTTGAGAGCAGATGTTACCCAGGCATCTTCGCTGCCTCCTTAGGCCTGTAAAGGGGAAAGGACGCGGTCACGTTGCAGCGCTGGTGCCCGCCTTGGCTTTGCGGTGGCCCCGTGACCTGCCACACGGCTCCTCAAGGAAAGAGGAGCAGGTCCCGGGTGGGCCAGGGGGGCTGTCAGCAACAGACTTCAGTGATCGGCCCCTTTAGGGTTGCCTGGGCTGCAGAGAGCCCCTGGCTTAAGGCCACGCCCCGTCCTCAGTTGCCCCATTTAGGAACCCAGCCAGGGCCCAGGGCGGGTATAATGGCCTGACCCCCTCAGACTGCAGGAGGCCAACTCCCAAGGCCATTGGAGCTCAGGGGCTCCCGGGGTAGGGGGTAGGGGAGGGGGGGCTGACACTGTGGCCGGGCTGCATCCCAGCTAGAGTCTCCCTGTGCCCACACCTGCTTCCTTCCCCTCCATTCCACGGGTGTCGGTTCTTGCACACCATACCCCCTCTCGGCGTCTGCTTCCTGGGGAACCCCCATGACATCACCAATCCCCTAGCGTGAGAAAGACCCCGGCCCTGGGAGTGGAAAGATCCCAGGTCAGGAGTGCCTGCCCCTACTGGCTGCTCTGAGTCTCCTGTTCGTCAGGTGCTGGGGGGCGGGGGGAGGGGCGGGAGGAGAGGCAGGCTGTTTACACAGGGGAATGGGCACCAGCCTTGGACTCCACAGGTTTGAGTCCCAGCTCTGCTGCTCCCTCGCTGAAGGCCGTGAGCAGTGGCACCGCCCCTCTGAGCCTCCTCTCATCCGTGAGACAAGCGGAAAACCTACCTCTCCGTGCTGCGAGGAGGATCGATGAGTGAATAAAACAATGTGTGTTGAAGGCCTTAGGACAGAAGCTGAGCGCCAGGCCAACATCCCATGAGCAGTGGTTGCTATGTTTGTTGTCATTAGCAGAGTGAGACAACTGGAGTGGTTAAGAAAGTGACCTTCGGCCAAGGCAGCCCGAGGTAAAGAATGAACTTTGAACAAAGGGCGTGGACATTCTAGGAAGTGGAGTCAACGTGATTATAAAGTTGCTGTAAAATCGGGAGCTCAGCCTGTAACTACATGAACGTGAGAGGCAATTTCTTTGGAAACAAGGGTCCCCAAGCTGTGTGGAGGGGAGGGGTGGGGACGACAGGGAGGGAGCAGGGGTCTCACCGATATGTTCCAGGAGCCCACTGGAGACCCATCTCCTTTGCGAAAGCATGGGTACGTCATCCAGACCCTAGCCTCTCCCGCCAGCGGCTCCCAGCGTTCTGGCTTTCCGCCAGCGACGTTTCCTGTAGGGTCCGCCGGGTCCAGAATCACAGGCCTGGGGAGCAACATCGAGAGGGGGGCAGCTGAGGAGCTGGGCTGGGTCTCCGGAGTCTAGATGCCCCTGTCATTGCAAACATCTGGGGCAGGTGGGACGGGGTGGAGTTGGGGGTAGGAGGAAGGGCCCAGCAGGGCGCTGCTTCCTGGGACTCATCCTTAGTGTCCCGGAGAACAGCAAACCCAGGAAAAGGAGCCTTGCTCTTGGGCCTCACAGACCTGAGCTGGAAGGCCACCGGTGCCCCTGGTTCGTGGTGTGCCCGTGGGAAGGTCCCTGGAGCTCTCTAAGCCTCGGTTTCCTCATCTGTGAAATGGGGCGAGCTGAACATGCCCACCTCCAAGGATGTGAATGCTCCGCACAGTACGTGGGACACAACCTAATGGGGGCCCATCCACATCAGTCCTCATATGATACGTTTTCCGGTTCGAGTGCGTGAGCCCCACAGCAAGCTTTTCACCCGGGGAACAGTGATCAGATTGCTGGGGCTGTGGCGGTCTCAGCCCACGGTTCAGCTATTGTGCTCATTTCCTGGGAAGGGTCGCACAGAACCTGTGTCCTCATCTACTTAGTTACAGCGGTTCTCAACCTTCTGGCCCTTTAAAGACAGTTCCTCATGTTGTGACCCAACCATAAAATTATTTTCGTGGCTACTTCATAACTGTCATGTTGCTACTGTGATGAATCGTCATGTAAATATCTGATATGCAGAATGGTCATAGGCGACCCCTGTGAAAGGGTCGTTCGACCGCCAAAGGGGTCGCGACCCACAGGTTGAGAACGGCTGGCGGGAACACAGTGCCCGCCTCACAGGGCTGCCTGCTGTCTGGTCAGATGGCAGTAAGGGGCCCGGCGCTGGGACCGGCAGCAGCAGATGACCAACAGACATGGAGTCTCGCCTTCCTCATTTCCCAGACGGCCGGGTCCATGGGTGCGGGGAGGGGCCCTGTGGGGACAGGGTACCTGGGTTTCTGGAGCTGCCTCCGCAGGTATGGACCAATCTCAGGATGTGAACTGTCGTAATACTGTGTCCAGTGGATGCAAAGCTGCCGGTAGTTCATGACTAGCTCCAAGACGGTCCGAAATCCCTGCGCTGTGCTGAAGTCGGTTTGCCGGCCTGCACGCTCCCAAGCGTAGACCGTCAGGAGCTCCAGGGCGTACTGAGGCGGCAGGGACTGTCCAAGCTTCTCCTTACACTGAGAGGGGGAAAAACAGCCAGAAAAATGGGCTTGCCCAGCCCTGCGGCCGAATCCAGGACCGCCTGCTTTTGTAAAAAACGTTTCCTCTTGGCGCAAAGTCATGCTCATTCATGCACGTATCGTCTGTGGCTTCCACGCTCCAATAACTGCGTTGAGTAGTTAAGACGGAGACCGTGGCCCTGACCCACATTCTAAAATATTTACTACCTTGTCATTTATGAAAAGAGGTCGCTGGCCCTGGTTAGGGCTGGGGCTCTGGATTCTGATTGAATTCTGGCTTCAACCTCGCCTGATTCTGGGCAGACGACTCTTTTCTTTCTTTTCTTTTCTTTTCTTTTCTT